GACAGCTTTGGGCAATATCTAACTTCCTTTGAGAAGGAAATATTAATTAATGATGATGAAGAATACTTTGGCTTAACAGACAATGACACAGAGTTGTATTGGGAGTGAAGCCACCTGGCTGACGAATTCATGATGCACAAGACTATGCATATAACATGAGTGAGCCATAGTCGGTATCATGAAAGATATGAGTAGTGGCCATGGTATGTTCTGGTACACTCATAGTGTCCATTGCATGTTAGGAATGCCGCCAGATTCAGAAGGTGCAGAATGTGTGTGTGTGTGAGTGAGCCACAGTGGGCTTTATAAAAGATGTAACTAGTAACCAGGGCACGTTCTGTTATGTACATGGTGTCTCCTTCTGAACATTATGAGTTCCCTCTCAATAGTTGTACGGATGTAACTTATGCCCTGATTTCCTAGGGAAAGACTTCCTTTTACAAGACAGTATATAAATTAGGAGTGAAATGCTCTCCCATCCAAGACATATTTGTTACAGGATATGGAATTTGCCATCTAATTACTGAAGACTACAGTTTCTAGAAGGCCAGTGATGTTTGATGAAGACAATGGTGAAGGAAGGAACGTGCAGACTTTTTTTGGTAAAAGGATTCTCTGATTTCAGAGGCATCCCTAGCTCCTTTTGAGTATATGGCTGTCCTTACTGGGATCATCTCTTTGGAAGGGAAAAATATTCCATTCTAAAAGCCCAAAGACATCATGGTCAAGAAAAGTTTCTCTTTCTTTGCACAATTACCTTATCTTTGTTCTCTTCAAATTTTGATAATTAAGATTTATCATTTAAATCTGAGACTGAAAAGATGGGAAAAATCATCTCCCCAGCAACATCACAGGCAAAAATTCCTATATAAAAATCCCCTCAACTTAGCCTGTGCATGGAACATTTGAATGCTTTGTGCAAGAGGGAGCCATCTAGAGGAAACATGAAAAACCCAAGAGATGTACTGGAGAAGCTTATGGGAAGATTATGCCCATGTGCTAAGAATGAAGATATAGGTATGTGGGCAAAAACGAAAAAAAAAAAGCAGATAAATATTGGAGACAGTTGTTATGAAAAGAGATTGGTTGCTGGGAAAGGGTCGTTGAGCTAGCTGGACCTTGAGGGGTGAACAGGTAGAGATGCATTGGGAGGTAGTCCACGGGAGGAAGTGGTCTCTATGGCAGAGAGAGCGACACGAGAGAAGGCAGTGCCTTAAGACCATCGTGTTACTGTTATGCTTTCTGTTAGGCTTCAGGCTTGAGCTGGAGGTTCTTCATATCTAAATGCCAATCAACATGGTACCCTGCTTTCTATGTTGTTAACTAATAAGAAGTATCTACTGATCACCTTCTGGTAGCAAATTCTTCCATTTGAAAAACACAAAAGTAGCTTCCCAGCGGGCTGGTATTCCAAAAACTCATAATGACGGTTTCTGAAGACAGACAAGACACCAGATCTTTCTACACAGGAAGAAAGACATCCAGCAGCAGGATATATTATTCCCATAGAAATAGCTTCCCTAGGAAATTCTGTGTCTGCGTGAAGGCTTTTCCCTATTCTTGCCATCCCTCAGCTCCACCCCATTCTGTAAATTATATGTGGTATATATACAGGGAGAAGTTCTCAGGTAACATTAACCCAGCTTCTCATGCTCAGAGGAACCCCAGACCTTACACTCACACACAGGCATTCACACATGCACACGTGTACATCCACACACTTTGGACACTAATGCTGCCTACTTGATATCCAAAGTTCTACAATGAAAAGATAGAGGTTTCAAGAAAGAAATGACAAGATCCTATATGAGAGTACTGGAGGAAAGTGCGTCCCACCTAGGGAGTGGAGTGAGACACACAGCAAGATGGATTTCTCAAGCTCAGAGCAAAAGTAATAGTGAATGGTACAAAACCCTGAGAGCAGGGGCCAGCACTGTGGCGTACAAGGTAAAAGCCACTGCCTACAGCACTGGCATTTCATATGGGTGCTGGTTTGAGTCCCAGCTGCTCCACTTCCAATCCAGCTCTCTGCTGTGGCCTGGGAGGGCAGTGGAAGATGGCTCAAGTCCTTGGGCCCCTGCACCCGCATGGGAGACCCGGAAAGCTCCTGGCTCCTGGATTCAGATCGGCACAGCTCCAGCCATTGTGGCTGTCTGGGGAGAGAACCAGCAGATGGAAGACCTCTCTCTCTCTCTCTCTTCCTCTGCCTCTCTGTAACTCTGCCTATCAAATAAATAAATAAATCTTTAAAAAAATAAAAAAAGTAAAAGCCTAGAGCAAGGGTGATCATCTCTGCAGACCAGATCAAAGGAGTGAAATAAAGAAACAAAGAAGGACAACTCAAATGGATAAAGTTCACTGGCTGCAATGGATATAAGTGGACCCTCTCTAGCTCTGCCTCTGTTGACACACATTCCCTCTCTATGCCAAGCTTTTATTCCTCAAGATAAACCTGAAGGCCAAGCTGCCAGCAATGAATTACAAAGCACAGCTCTCTGCTCAAGTGGCATTTGATAATGCCAAGCAGTTGGGGGCCAATAAAGTCACCACTTCTGCAAATCAAATGAACCAGCTCCTAAACAAGTATAACCCTGTGCTGACACCCTTGCCACAAGAGGGAGAGGTCAGGAAGGAAAATGGCAATGAAACCACTGCAATTAGTGCCTTTTTCATTCCTTCTGCACCTACTGTAACCCTCTAGAGCAGCAGATGGCTAAGACAGCTAGAGTTCTTGCTGGTTTGTGGGTATGATGTAGAAAAATTGTATGACTTTTTGAGAACTCTGACATGAAATTTAAGCTTTAAGCAGTTGGTATTTTGATCATATTTAAGTATGTAATGACCTTTTGAACATATACAAAACTAAAACTCAGTTCCCTGGTGAGCAGCCCTTGCGGAGCTGCAGTAGTGAACAACTAAATAGTATTTGTAATTAACACACTGTTGTTGGAAGGTAGGGCTCCTGGAGATAAACCCTTGCACCCTGGTTGAGAATCAATAATGCACAAAGAATTGTTCTGGCTGCTGTTGGTTGCCCAGAATGTGGCTTGTTTTCCTGTGTAGTTCAAAGTATTCCTTCAGCAACTCGTTTATAGCATTTATTTGTTTAACAAAGTTGTCATTCCAATAGAGTACAAATTTGGCCTAACTCTAAATTACCCCAGATGCCAAATCAGCAGGTACAATCTAATGAGGTCTGACTATGTCAAAGCAAAGGCAAATTATGTGTTCTCTAGTGATCGAAACCTGACCTCTCTGCATTGACAAAATCAGAGCTGGATTTGTTGAAAGAAGATTGGGAGTTGGGCAACTTTGAATAGAAATCCCAACTGTGTGATCTTAAGCAATTAAATTTTGCCTGTACCACAGTTTCCTCCCACATTGGGATAAAGGCTGTTACACAGGTTTGTAGTGTATACTGGATGCTTTATATATAAAATTTGAACCATTGGGCTTGGTAATTAACAAGGATTCTTCTACTGACAGCCTCTCAAATCATGAGCTGAAGGGCCTGAGTTCAGATAAATGGGCTCAGATATGCCTGCTTTCCTATTCACTTACTCCCTGTTTATATTCCAAACACCTGTTACATCTAAGTCCCCTTTTTCTCATCTTCAAATTGTGGATGATGATAACTCTATCTTAGGGTATTGTGATCATTAAATGAATTAATGTTTATGTAGCTTGAGAATGCACTACTCAATACATTTCATTCCTTCTCCTCAATGTCCCCCTGTTCTTTTGGATTATGATTATCTGAAGCATGGTAAAATACACATGCATGTGTTTAATGTACTCTAAAATATCCAAAAAATAAAATGCAAGTTAATTATTTGTTTGTGGGTAATTTTTACAATTTATTAATTGTAATTTCTGTCATAACAAATAGCAGAAGAGAAATAATTGTATTTTCAGAGTTAAATAATTAAGAACTGCTGATGGTGAGAACAACAGTATTACAAGAAAGGCAAAGGGATTATTCAATGAATTAGAGAAACCACTGTTAAGTTTAAAAGCTGTTGTCTTGTGTTCGGTGTATTTTTGTGGCTTAACAGAATTATCTTTTACAGGGGAGGGGAAAGCAGTATTAATTGAATCAGGAGCTCTAACTGACCTCTTTGAATTGCCCATGGCTATAGCAAGCTCAATAATTTAGATAGTCTTCAGGAGCATGAGCTGTGAAGCCTTAGAGTTCTGGGTTAAAATCTCAGGTCTGGTACTTACTACCAGGATGCCCTTGGTTACTGTGACCTTGGACAAATCATTATCTGGATGAATGTGACTTTTACTCATTTGTGAAATAGAATAAGTGATACTTATCCAAGCTACTATTATAAAGATTAGCTGAGATAAAGTATTTAAGACTCTGGGTGCTATGCTAGCATATAAAGCAGTTCCTATCTATTTATCATTTACCAAGCAACAGAAATTAAAACACAGTGGGTTAAGCTGCATTCTGCAGCTCTGGCATCCTAAATTGGCAGTGGTTCAAGTCCCAGCTGCTCCACTTCCAATCCAGCTCCCTGCAGATGCAACTGGGAAAGGAGCTGAAGATGGCCTAAGTACTGAGGCCCTGCACCCATGTAGGAAACCAGAAGAAGCTCCTGGCTCTTGGCTTTGGCCAGAATGTAGCTTATTTTCCTCTGTAGTTGCAGCCATTTGGGGAGCAAACCAGCAGATGAAAAACCTCTCTGCCCTCTCTCTCTGTAACTCTGCCTTTCAAAATAAATACAATGATAATAGTAATAATAAAAGTAAGTTGAAGAACCAAAGGTTATCCCCTGGCAACTGCAGGCTACTACCAACCTACTTAAGCTATCAAACTTGTACAGTGACCCTTTCCCGAAATGCATCGCACCCCCACTTCCATCATATCAACTCATCTTCTCTTTCTTCCAAGACAAGGGCTTTCAACTGATCTGGCAGTCTAATTTTTTTAAGTAAGCAAATATATTCTTTCTGAAATTGATGTATTTTTCAGCCATGTCAATTTTTCCCAGGTAGCAGGGATAAAGGGAATGTTCTTGGCTAACAAGAAGATTGACAACCAAGTGAAAACTTTCATCACATACAACAAAGGCAGAGACTGGCGATTGCTGCAGGCTCCAGACACGGATCTGAGAGGGGACCCTGTGCACTGCTTGCTGGTGAGTCTTCGTGTGAGAGTAGAATGTCTCATGCAGGAGGGGTTAAGGGAGCCCTTTGACTGTTTCTCAATTGCTGAACAAAATGGGCTGGGAATGTGTGAAGGCTGAGTGTATAGGGAAGGGTAACCGTGCTTGTTCTGTGATAGGCCAATGAGATAGAGAATATGGCGAAGTGTCTTGCTCATTTCCCACATCTTCATTTCTAACCCGTGTTCTTAAGAAGATCTCCAATGATGGTTTGAGGAGGAATACAATAATTTCCATCTCTGGTAAAGATATGCACTAAACACCCTTACTTTCTCATAGATAACCTGTTCAGATCTAATGATGCATAATCTCAGCTGTAGAACTGATGAACTGAATATAGAACTGTGTGGGTGTATTTTCATGTGGAGATGTCTAATCACATTTTCAAATAAGTTTATGACAGAAAAAAGATAGGAACCACTGATTTAAACCTTTGTTTGTTTTACTTATGTTATATATTGATTTATCTTATCCTATGGAGCTGGGATTGGTAAGAACTGTGACTGGCGCTGTGGCACAATAGGTTAATCCTCTGCCTGCAGCACCAGAATCCCTTATGGGCACTAATTCTAGTCCCAGGAGCTCCTCTTCTGATCTAGCTCTCTGCTGTGGCCTGGGAAGGCAGTGAAAGATGGCCCAAGCACTTGGGCACTGTACCCACATAGGAGACCCAGAAGAAGCTCTTGGCTCCTGGCTTCTGATTTGCCCATCTCTGGCCGTTGCAGCCATTTGGGGAGGGAACCAGTGGATGGAAGACATTTCTCTCTGTCTTTCCCTCTCATTGTCTGTAATTTTACCTCTCAAATAAATAAATAAAAATCTTAAAAAAAGAACTGTGACCTATGGGGGAAATACAATACACCACATGTTTTCTATATGAAATTTTATTGGAGCACAACCATGCTTATCCATTTATGTCTATTTACTGTCTATGTCCACTTTTACTCTAAAGTGGATGGTCCAAAAAGCCCAATATATTTATATTTTATCATTTTAAAAAACTTTGCTTACCCCTGATTTGAAGCAGTGTAGAGTTTTTTAGTAATCTTACCTTTGAGCAATGAATCTATCTGTATGAATTTATTTATATATTTGATGATGGGAGGAGTGTCCCAGAGGAGGAAGGAAGATGGGTCTTGTCTATAAGGAGTTTTCAGTCTACTGTCTATATGAGTGAGGCTAGATTAATAAATGAAATATTGTAGAATTGCATCTCACTTATAGAAACGCTGATGTCTGCTGCATGCTTGACATACCAGTAAATACAGAGTGAATGCAGGAGGGAGGGAGATTAATTGCAAAATAAAGTATTATTATTAATTTCTGTAAAACAGTTCAGAAGTTGTTTTTAAGTTTAGAAAAGGGAGAAACCAGTATGTAAATCTAGAGGAAAGACCAGTTCATTTTAGAAAGAAGAGCTTGGTAAGTATGTGTGTGTGTGTGTGTGTGGTCCACACTTCATACAACTCTTACTTTGTCATTACCCAAACTCAGCTAGACAAAGTGTGCACAGTCACTTCGCAGGTTCATCTCACACAACTGTAGGTGGGTCACCCTCCTACTTGAGAGGATGCCAGCAGCAATAGCTTGACCTTATTAGTTGTAGAGGATATCGCAGTTGTCACTGTGCATCAGGGAAGCAGTCTAAAATTCAGCCTTCCACTCAGCTTCCATCCTTATGACTAGTAACTTACAGAGGGAAGACAGCCAGTTGTTACAGTAAGTGCACAAAGCCCGTGACAGAAGAAGTAAATATAACAGCAACTTATTGAATACTTACCCTATGTAATGCACAGTGCAGTGGCATTAAAAAAAAAAAGAGTTGCCTTCCTATTTTAGCTGTTCCAAGTTGGAGGCATGGTGATACTTAGCCCAAGATGCATGCAATGCACCAGAACCTTAATGTGGTGCCCCATTTCTACTGTGCACTCTTTTTTTTTTTTTTTTTTTTAGAGGTTGTGATTTTAGTTTATTTCCTTGTATCACTGACCTGTAACCCTGTAACCTCTTTGTCTTTTTTTTTTTAACTTTCTTTTTTTTTTATCTTTTATTTAATGAATATAAATTTCCAAAGTACGACTCATGGGTTACAATGGCTTCCCCCCCCCATACCGTCCCTCCCACCCGCAACCCTCCCCTTTCCCACTCCCTCTCCCCTTCCATTCACATCAAGATTCATTTTCGATTATCTTAATATACAGAAGATCAGCTTAGTATACCTTAAGTAAGGATTTCAACAGTTTGCTCCCACACAGAAACATAAAGTGAAAAATAATAGATGATTTTTTTAAATGATGATGAAATCAGATCAGACCTATTGTCATGTTTAATCCCATCTACTGTGCACTCTTGAAATTAAGTGCCTATAATAGGGAATTCACCATGGCACCTAATAGGCTTGCCTGAGTACTCTGACATCATGAATGGACCCTTAAAACTGACTCTTAAATAAAGCTCTTAGCACTGTGTTTCCTGCTGCACCCCCAACTCAGTGTCACATAGTCTTATTGCTATCCTCCAAAATATAAATGACATAATAGCTTACTTCCTTATCTCCACGGGGACTGCCCTAATCCAAACCACCAGAACTTCTCACCTGGCCTACAGTGTTGGCCTCCTAACTGAATCTCCCATTTCTACCTGGGAATTCATTCTCTGCAGAGTAGCCAGTGTGACTTTTTAGAAAATCAACTTTACAGAGATAAAATATTTATATATTAAAAATATCCATTTTAATTATAATTCAGAGAAGTTTTTTAAATTTTTACTTTATTTGGAAGACAGAGACATAAACAGATTTTCTATCCTCTGGTTCACTCCCCAAATGGCTGCAACCACCAGAATTGGGCCAAGCCAAAGCCAAGAGTCCAGAACTGAATCCATAACTTCTGTGTGGGTGGCAGGACTCTAAGTACTTGAGCCATTTTCTGCTTCTTCTGAGGATGCATTAGCAGGAAGCTGGACTGGAAGCAAGACAGGCAGAACTCAAACCAGGCACTCCTGGATGGGATATGGGCATCTCAAGCATCTACTGCATTGCTACACCTAATTAGATGTATTTTGACAACTGTATATGAGGGTGCTTCGGAAAGTTTGTAAAAAAGATGGCACTAAAAAGTAAATTTATTTTAGCTTCAAAGCTTTTGAAATTCACATACATTTTTTCACTCAATTTTTGAAAATCCCCTCATATCTATGGGTTTAAAATGTTATGTACCAAAGTGAACTTATTTTTTAATTTCACTTTGCATTTATTTTTTGAAGTACCTCCATATACCCATGTAACAACCATCACAGTCAAGGCATGACATTTCTGTCACCCGAAAAATTTCATTTAATTCCTTGTCAGTTAAAACCCATATTTCTAGACCCAGACAACCACTGATTAGCTTTTCTTTACCACAGGCTAAATTTCTGTTTTATAAAATTTTGAGTAAATGCTGCCAAGTTGGACTTCCAGAAAATCAGATCATGTCCCTCTGTACTTAGTAATTGCTTTCTAAGTCAGGTAGAATAAAGTCAAACACTTTGTCCTCCTCTGCAGGGCCTTATGTGATCTGGCCCTTTCTGCTTCTCCTGTGTGGTCTCCAGCAACTCTCTCCTTCCTTTTTTACAATGAGCAATGATCGTACAAAGGTTTATTTCACTGTTTATATCTTTTTTTTCATGTTTTATTTTTTTTATTTTATTTTTTTATCTGTTATTTAATGAATATAAATTTCCAAAGTACGACTTATGGATTACAATGGCTTCCCCCCCATATCGTCCCTCCAACCCACAACCCTCCCCTTTCCCACTCTCTCTCCCCTTCCATTCACATCAAGATTCATTTTCGATTATCTTAATATACAGAAGATCAGCTTAGTATACCTTAAGTAAGGATTTCAACAGTTTGCTCCCACACAGAAACATAAAGTGAAAAATAATAGATGATTTTTTTAAATGATGATGAAATCAGATCAGACCTATTGTCATGTTTAATCCCAGTGAAAGTCAAGTTGGGAATTGATAATTTCTTTTTTTTTTTTTTTTACAGAAGATCAGTTTAGTATACATTAAGTAAAGATTTCAACAGTTTGCACCCCCATAGAAACACAAAGTGAAATATACTGTTTGAGTACTCGTTATAGCATTAAGCCTCAATGTACCGCACATTAAGGACAGATATCCTACATGAGGAGTAAGTGTACCGTGACTCCTGTTGTTGACTTTACAAATTGACACTCCTGTCTATGGCATCAGTAATCTCCCTATGCACCAGTCATGAGTTTCCAAGGCTATGGAAGCCCCTTGAGTTCTCCAACTCTTATCTTGTTTAGACAAGGTCATAGTCAAAGTGGAGGTTCTCTCCTCCCTTCAGAGAAAGGTACCTCCTTCTTTGAAGACCTGTTCTTTCCACTGGGATCTCACTCACAGAGATCTTTTTGCCAGAGTGTCTTGGCTTTCCATGCCTGAAATACTCTCATGGGCTTTTCAGCCAGATCCGAGTGCCTTTAGGGCTGATTCTGAGGCCAGAGTGCTATTTAGGACATCCGCCATTCTATGAGTCTGCTGAGTATCTCACTGTTTATATCTTAAAATCTTTGCACTTCCTACTATTTCTCTTAAAGTGCTGTCGTTGTCCTAGTTAGACTTTTTCTTGGCATTCAGATTGTTGTTTGGTTCCCTTAATTGCAGAGCTTTTTTGAGCATCTTCTACCATTGTATTTGTCCCAACTCTTATCTTCGGGACCCTTATCAAGTCCCTAAAATCAGCCAATGTGTCCAGTGACTATTGCCCATCTTCTGCTAAGTGTAAGCTCCATGAACTCTCTGTGTGGACAGTGTCTATCTTTCTGGCCAATCCAAAGTATCAGTTTCAAGAATCATGTCTGCCATATGGTGAATTTTACATATATATTACATGCATATATAGAATATATGCACAGGAATGGAACCCATTCATTGCCTCTGGCAGTTACAGTGGAGGATTT